TATATATATTTCTTAATCAGTTCAATTCAGCAAGATTGTAGATCAAATGATACAGCATCCTAATATGCCTGAGGGTTCAGTGAAAGAAATTAGCTTTCTGGACAGGACACAAATTCTTTATCTATAATAAAATTACGCATAAAAATCCCATCTTTGATTTTCAAAACATAGTGTTATTGAAGTTCTAAGATATTGAAGTTTTAATGTGCTTTGAGTTGCCCAAAGTGACACACCAGTGCTTATTTTTAATAAGGGGCTGGAGATTCTCAGCACCCAAATGGTAGCTAACAACCACCCATAACACCAGTTCCAGGGGCTCTGACACCCTCTTCTGGACTTCATAGTCATTGCATACATGTGGTACACAATACATGAAGGCAAAACACTCATACACTATAAATAAATTTTTAAAATTTAAGTTTTAATTACATCACTATATATACACATATGTGTGTATATATATATGGACATATATGCCCATCTGTGGATTATGCATTATGTGTATTATAAGTCATTTGTAGGTCATCACTAGAGAATAAAAACAAAATAAGGCAAAATTACTGTGCAATGATGTGACAATTGAGGAAACAGTTAGACTTCTACTTTATGCATATTGTACCAGTGCAGGACACAGGTCATAAAGAAACTGACTGCCACAAAGGATCCTTGCTCAGAATTCCCAGGAGCCCTCTATTGGCAACAGTACTGACATCAGGAAATCTTCTTTCAAATGAGGGTGTTTACCTCATCTGCCCTATAAAGTTGCAGAGATGAAAAATAAAAATGGGGAAGGAAATTTGAGAATTTAGGAGAAATTTAAGACAATGCAAGTATCCAGGTGAGGTGTCATACACCTGTGATATCAGCACTGGGGAGGTTGAAGCAGGAGAGTTGTCATCAGTTGGAGTCTAACCTGGGCTACATAGCAAGTTCCAGGCCAACCAGAGAGACCCTGTCTCAATAGAACAATCAGTTTCATGAGACACTTTTAGTGCCTAACAGGAACAGGTAACATTTAAGATCTTACTGTCACCCATTCTGAGCAAGACTCCCATAATGTTTTCTCAGTAAAACAGCCCAGTAATGTTCAAGCTAAAACTCTTTAGGAATAAAATGAAGTACTGGACCAAGGACCCTAAATCAAAACTATCCTGTGGAAACCAGGACATATGATACCCTTCCCTGAAAAATTGATGTTACTGTTAATATTACTGTTATACCCATTTTACATTTGAAAGAAATGAGATCTGAAGAAATTAAGTACTTGCCCAATTTATACAACAGTAAGAGTCAAATCCTGTCTTGTTCTAACAATAAATAATATTAAATACTTGAGCTGTTAATGGGATATAATGAGTTTTTAAAAATTACCATGGGAGTATATGAAAACCACTGATCAGGCATGCATTACTATCCCTTCTAGTTCTATGATGACCCTTGTATCATAATTTTCTTGTGCTTAGATCTTTTCAACTAAAGGTCCTCAGGAGCAAGTATAATCTCACCTTTACATCCCCTAGAGTCTAGCTCAGTGCCTTTTCTACAGTCAACATTAAGTAAATCTGTCCTAATTCAAATCCTACTTATATCCTTTACGCATCTTCTCGCTTCTCCTACTTCATAGACCCAGAGTGAACAGAGGAATTCAGCTTGGAGTAATTATTCCTTCCTATACATTCATTCTGTTTTGTTTTTCAACTTCATCTGTCAGTTCTAAGGTGAATGAAAAGGAATCAGGAGTCAGAAACTGAAGTTCTAAGTCCAACTCAGCTTCTTCCTCCTTGCCTGCCTAGCTTTGGGCAGCTCATTTTCTCTGTCAGATGAAGGAGTTGAATTCTGCGATCTCTAAAATCTCCTCCAGTTCTATATTCGCATATTAGTCATAGGCTGATAGCTGTTCTAAGCATAGCTTTTCCCTCGCACTGGAGTTGACACTGAATGACCAGTCCTACCACTTGTAATGCATTAGTCAAGACAAGCTAATCTAAAATCAACATTCAAAAAATGTACAAAAGAAATACTTGCAAGTCATATATCTTATAAGGATCTATTATCCAAAATATATGCCTCTTATAACTCAAATAATTAAAAGACAGCTGGGTATGGTGACTCATGCCTTTAATCCCAGCAAAGGAAAGCAAATCTCTGTGAAGTCAAGGCCAGCTGGTTTACATAGGAAGTTCTAGGACAGCTGGAGCTACAGGGAGACTCTGTCTCAAAAGAAACAACAAAAAGGTACTGAGCTGGGGATATAGCTCAATTGGTAGAGTGCCTGCTTAGCATGCACAGAGCCCTGGATTTGATCTCCAGCACCACATATGCTAGGTGTGATAGCACACATCTGTGATCCTAGCACACAGGAGGTAGACATAGAAGGATTAGTAGTTAAGTTCAAGGCAAGCCCAGGCTACAAGAGACCCTGTTTCAAAAAAAAAAAAGTATACTAAAGTACTGATACATGGTACAACACATAACGCAAGAAAATCTTAGAAACATGATGCTAAATGACAGGAGCCAGACACACAAATATGCAATGATCCCACTGGTTTAACAGGTCCATCTATACAGATAGAGGAAGGAAAGGTAGGTCAATTGTTGCTAAGAGCTATAGAGAATAACTACTAACAAGCACCAAATTTCTTTCTGGGGTGATGAGAATGTTCTAGCATCCAGTAGTAGTAATTTTTTCATAACCTTGTAAACATCCTAAAACCCACTAAATTATAGGCTTTAAAATACTAAATTTTGTGGCATGTGAATTAGATCTCAAATTTATTAGATAAAAGAAACAAACTGTAAAGTAACACATATTTGGAAGTTTTCATACTAACATCCCCACTTTCTCAGTAAGTAGTGATACAGAGATCTAAGACCTTATTAAGAAATACTCTACTATAAGTTATTATATTATGACATCATGGGTATATCTTTCCAGAGCATTTAGGAGTATTTTTTTATTGGAACATAATGGGCATTCAGAAGTATTATTTGACATATTATTTTTTGAAACATATTCACTGAATTCTGCTTAATTGTGTCAAGCCAAAAAGATTCTGGTATTCTAATAGAATCTCAAGTTACAAAAGTCACCTATTAGATGCAAAGATAAGCCTTTGTATCTCAAGATTCAGCTTTCTTAAATGATATCCTAAATATCATTTAGGATATCATTTTCTAGCATGTGTTTAAGGTGATTTTCATCATCTTTAAAATGGAAAGCTATTGTCATGAATTTTTTAAATGTTTGTGTTTTCAGACTGTTAGACCAAGGAAAGATGTTAGCAATCATGCTGTTTTGCCTGTCAAAACAAGGCCCATCAACACTAAAACTACAAGGCCCATCAACACCAAAACTACAAGGCCCATCAACACCAAACTTCAGCCTAAACCAGCCAGTATCATGGGGCCCCAGAAGCCAAAGTTGGAACCACCAAAATTTCCAGGCAAAAGGCTAACTTCAAGATGTATTTCTTCTAACTCCAACTGTAAACAGTCCAGCAAGAGTCAGCAGCAGCGTGAAGCTGGATCACCCACTGCAGGACAGTCAAGGAAACCCATGCAGTCCACTCGCACGCTGGAACTGAAAACTAAACAGCCACAGGAAGCAGATGAAGGACATGCTAAATGTACAGATTCTATGGTGAATACCCTTGTTGAAAACAAACCTTTAGATGACTTTCTAAAAGAAATGAACAAAGAGAACTTTCCCCAAACTTTGTTAGACCCTGAGAAGAATCCAGACCCTGGATTATGTGTCATAAGTAAGCCAAAGACTAACTGTTGTAACCAAACCAAGAATGGTTTGGCTCCTAAACAAGTCTTGGGCAAAAGTTTGGTTAATAATACTGTTCTGAAAGACAGGGTTAATCAACAGTTTGTTAGAAAAACACAAATCAGGACTCAACCAGTGAAATTACAGCAGCTCTCTAGAGTTGCTGATTCTGCAAAACCAAGAGAAAACATTCCAAGACCAGCTCTCTCTCACTTTATTCAGACCCAAAATAGAGCTCAAGCATCAAAGAAACCAGTGCTCAAAAACACACAGGATATAAAAGTTAACAGGGGTAAATATGGAAAATCAAATGAAACTAAAGGACAGTCATACCCTGCTACTGAACAGAAAATAAAACATGCTAAACCTAGTACATACCCCCACTTACTTCAGAGAGGACATAACGACAGACATCCAAACATCAAGCAAGATCAGAAAACCATTCAACAGTGTCTTGGACCCCGGACATCTTATGTTCCACAGAAATCAAGAGTGATAAACCAGAGGCCTAATTTGACTGCCAGCAGCTTTAATTCAGTGGTTCCAAGCACCCCTAGCATAAGAGCAAATAGAACCCATAACAATAAATACAAAGACATCTTGCAACAAAAAGCACAGACTGTGGACTACAAGTTCAAAAAGGCTCTTCCTGGGAACCATTTTCTGAGCAAGACAGCTTCCAAAACTCGATCAGGTTTCTCAACTGTAAATGAGACTAGAGCCCCAAGTGCTACCCAGCCTCATCCAAATGTTGAAAAGAAGACAGCAGCAGAGGATCGGAGGTACTTTGCTTTAACTCCAAGATAATGCAATTTAAGATTTTTTTATATTTTATTATTTTTAAGATTTTATGTGTATGAGTGTATTGCCTGCATGTGTATAAGTGAGCCCTTGTCATACAGTGCCCATGGAGGTCAGAAGTGGGCATCGAATTTCCCTGGAACTGGAGTTATGGACGTTTGTTGGCCACCGTGTGGGTGCTGAGAATCGAACTTGGGTCTTCTACAAGAGCAGCCAGTGTCTTAACCACTGAGCCATCTCTCCAGCCCCTCTATAAAGTTTTTGTTTGGTTTGGTTTTAATGAAAATAAAGCAGAACAGATGAGCAAGACTCTGCAGACTAAGTCACTCAAGAAGACTTACAGAGACTGAACAGAGCAAGGCAGGTTAAAGGGAGCTGCAGCAGTAAGCTCACATAACTAGGAAGGAAGAGGACAGTAGTTTCTTATCCAGCCAATCAGTGCTTGCATTTGGAGAGGTTATTTAGGAGGAAGGAAGGGGAGGCGTCTATGAGCATGAGTGGGCCAAGTGTAGGCAAGTAAGCCAAAGTAGAGAGGAGCAGCTGTTCAAATGTAGAGTTGAGGTGTTAGAAATCAGGATCTTGGGTTGCTGGGGCTCATGTTATACATGATGCTTGAAGCTGAGCCAAAAGAGTCTTTCTGCCCAAGACCAGACACAGTCCCAGACTGCAGGTGACCCTCCCAAGAGAAGCTCTTGTGTATGCCTGGCTGAAGCAGAAAATAAGGAGATTCCTGACGAGTGTGAAAGGAGCATACAAAAGGAGATGATGGCTAAAAGCCGCAGCAGGGTGAGGAAGGGCAGGATGGACTCTCAGAATGTAGCCCGTGCCTTCCTACAAAAGAAAATAACTGCTGGTGTGATTGAGAGAATAAGGTCAGGACAGCCAGTTTACATAGAAGGTTCAGGGGAAGAACTTCCAACAGTGATGTCTGAACTGAGCTCTAAGGCTGATGAAAGGAGGAAAACCCTTCTGAGCAGGAAGAAGAGTGCAAAAGCCCAGAACTGGTAAATGAGGAAGTGAGGGTCTGCCCTAGAGCTCCCAGCCTGGATCACACAGCAGAGGAGTGGTCATAGGCCAGTGTGGAACATCTTGGATGTGTTTAACTGCAAAAAGGGTAGAGTAGATGGAAACGGTTTAGCTCCATTGGCTCATTCCACCAAGTGTTCCCTCTTCACCTGCAGTGTGCCAGACTCAGGAGATGGAGTGATGCAATCACAGTTTCCACTCTTAGAGAGCTAGTTTAGAGCAGTCTGCAAAGTAGTAGAGAAATAAGACTACCATTGAGGGTGCAGGAGTAGCTGATTGTAGAAAAGGGCAACTATGAAGATATGAAGAATGCCAGGGACGTGGAGGAAAGAGATCATGTGTCTCAAATTCTTAAGTAGGGTTAATGAAGGTAAGTGAGGAACAGTAGGGCTGCAGTAAGCTCTGTAGTCAGAGGGAAACACAATAGTTAATACCATTCATTTACTTAAAATTGATATTCTGGAAAAGGCAAAAATCATAAAGACAAAAAGATCAGTGATTTCTAGGAAATCACTGGGCAGGGTGGCTAAGGGGATTTTGGCATGTGTTATATCTTGATTATAGCTTTGGCTGAATGATCTCATGCACTTATACCCCCAGAATCACATACTTTGAAAAGGTAAATTTTACTGTATTTGTCATTGAATACCTGTGTGTGCCAAACACTGAGCTAAGCACTGAACCTCCAGTTCTGCCTTCGTAGAGCTTGTATCCTGGTATAGAAACAGAATACCAACACGTTGATTAAACCAGACAGGATAATTGTGGATCATTACTCTTCTGGGAGAGGCCATTTAAACAGAATACTGAAGAGTCAAGACTCAGAGGCAGGAGTGAGCCTAGGTCAAGAAACTGAAAGGATGCCAGGGCCCCAGGAGGGCAGTGAGCAAGAGGGAGAGTGCAGTGGCAGGAGGTTGGAAAAGAAGTAGGGTGGCCATAGATAATGTTTGTAATTTTATTTCAGGAGTTGTGGGAAGTTGACACAATCTGCTTTATACCTTACATCAGCTACTTTAGGCAGAGAATGTTTGGCTTGGGTTACAGTAGATGCCGGCTGTCTTAGTTTGTTTCTCCATTGCTGTAACAGAATACTCTGACAACTTCCAATTTGGGGAGGAAAGGGTTTATTCAGCTTACATCTCCCAGGTCACAGTTCATCAGGGAGCCCAAGGTAGGAACTCAGGGCAGGAACCTGGAGGCAGGAGCTGGAGCACAAGCCATGGAGGAACTCTGCTTACTGGCTTGCTCCCCTGTCCCCTGCTCAGCCTGCTTTCTTATGCAACACAGGCCCACCTGCCCAGGGGTGGCACCACCCACAGTGGGCTGGGCCCTCCCACATCACTCATCAAGAAGATGCCCCTCAGACATGGCCACAGGCCAGTCCAATAGAGGCAATTCCCCAATTGAGGCTCCCTCAACCCAGGTGTGTCAAGTTGACACTAAAGCTATCCAGCACAATTGACCCCTTATCAACTTGACACACAAACATCACTATTAAACCATAAACTTTCCAATTTTTGTCCCCAAGATATGATGTTAATATCACAACATAAGACAATACAACCTTAAAAACCCCACAGTCCTTAAAAAATCCAAACACTTAAAAGTCCATAGTCTCTTAATAGTCTCTTAACTGTGGGTGGGCTTCTATAAAATCCAAAACAAGTACCATCTTATTTCAAAGGGAAGAATCAGGCACACCTAAGCAAAACCAAAGTCCAGCAAATTAGCTCAAGGCTGGACATCTGGGATTCACTCACGATCTTCTGGGCTCCAAAGGGCACTGGCAGCTCCACTGCTCTGACTCTACAGCCCACAGCACACTCAGCTCATCTCACAGACCCAGGCCAGCTCCATTCTACACCTACTGCAGTCCTTGGTGGTCGTCCCATGGTCCTGGCATCTCCAAAAAGCTGGGGTCTCCACTGAAACTGAGGCTACACCTTCACCAATGGCCTCTTCTTGCCTCTTGGGGTGCAAAGTCTCATTCTTATCATGACCCCTTCAATCCTGGGGTCTTCGCTGCAACTGAAGCTGCACTTTCACCTATGGCTTTTCCTGGCCTCTCAGAGTGTCAGGCCTTAGCATGCTTTCAACACCAGAACCATGCAGGAGACTCTTACACATTACCAAGTCCTGCTTCCAGCTTGAAATAGAGGTGCGGGTACCCTCTGTGTGCTGACCCTGAGGAAATACCTCCCAGAAGACTTCACAGTGATGCTGGTCTCTTGTTACTTATAGCTAATTTTTCAGCCCCAGCTAACCAGCATCAACTGTCCCAGTAAAGCAAAGGTTTTACTTCAGGTTCTGGTCTCTTCTTAATCACAGCTGATTTTTCAGCCCCAGCTGACCAGAACCCACAGATTCTCAATTCAAAATATCACAGGAACAGCCCTGATAGTCTCCGCTTCCCTTTGAAGCTTCACAAGCCAGGCCTCCATCGTCTATAACTCTTTCAGCATAACTTTTCCAAGCTCCACAGCAACAAACTCTGAGCACACAATAGCTTTTCCAGCCCAAAGTTCCAAACACTTCCACAGTCCTCCTCAAAACACCAAGGTCAGGTCCATCACAGCAGTATCCCACTCTCTGGTACCAATTTCTGTTTTAGGTTTTTTTATTGTTGTGACAAAACACTCTGACAACTTCCAACTTGGGGAGGAAAAGGTTTATTCAGCTTACATCTCCCAGGTCACAGTTCATCAGGGAGTCCAAGGTAGGAACTCAGCGCAGGAACCTGGAAGCAGGAGCTAGAGCACAAGCCATGGAGGAACTCTGCTTACTGGCTTGCTCCCCTGTCCCCTGCTCAGCCTGCTTTCTTATGCAACACAGGCCCACCTGCCCAGGGGTGGCACCACCCACAGTGGGCTGGGCCCTCCCACATCACTCATCAAGAAGATGCTCCTCAGACATGGCCACAGGCCAGTCCAATAGAGGAAATTCCCCAATTGAGGCTCCCTCAACCCAGGTGTGTCAAGTTGACACTAAAGCTATCCAGCACACTGGGAGATGGAATAGTCTGCCACAGCATCACAGACACGGGTGATAGGAAGCAGTTCAGCATGGTGGTAGTGTGGACAGAGAAGCAATACTGAATCCACAGTGACATTGTCAGATGCCAGGGAAAGCAACTAGTCAGAGACAGCTCCTGAGTTTAAGTCCTGAAATGCGGGGGTCTCTCCATCTCTTCGTGGGTCATTGGCCACCGGCCCACAAGGGCAGGGAGAGCAGAAGCGACGAACGGGGTCAGGACGGCCAGTGGGCACTGACGGAAGAAAGCCCCAGGGAGGCTGGTCCCAGGCGCAGTGAAACAGCAGTGATACAGCTCCAGACAGTGAAACAGCTCCGTTTATTCAGTGGGAGAGGCAGTAGCAAAAGCCTCAGTTGATAGGTGCTCATAGTATGCTTTATTTACATGTGGCAGTGGGCTCCTATCTTCCAGACTATCAGGCAATGCCTGATTATCATATAGAAAAAACCTGGGGGTAGTTTTTACTCCAGGTAACTATGCCAAAGGTCATGTTCCAGATAAGGTCAGGCATCCGTGCTTGGTGGCACTTTCCAGGTGAGCCAGGAAGAGAGCAGGAGGCCCCCTGCTGAAAAGGGGAGTCCTTCCATTTGGCGCTGAGCCCCTCAGGGCTATCCGGACATGGAGAACTACAACCCTAACAGCAGGGTTTCCCAACACTGAAAACTAGGATACTATTTAGGAAAATAAGGAAAATGAAGAAGAGACTTGGAGGTAAATATCAGGAACTTCCTTTGGACTGTATTGAATTGAAATGCCTGTCAGACATCAAATAGAAGATACAAAGGAGTCAAAGTTTAGCAAAGTTTGGAACTCCAGGGATTGATCTGAAATGTACGCTTTTAGATCAGTGATGCATGATTGCAATTTAACAAAGTTAGAGCATCTACATCTAAGCACTTGGCCTATCCATCAGCTCCCCTGCCCCCAAACCCCAAAAGTAGTCTGTTGTCTGCTTAGAAAAGAGGAGAAGATAAACAGTGGAGGAATCTCAGGATTAGGGTGTGGTACTGTCAGAGACCAGTTCCTTAAACTTTAAAGTACACTAAAATTATTGATTAATGAAAAAAAGGAAATCATATATGGTCAGGAGAGGGCTAAAGAACTGGGGTGAAGTAGGTCACTTTGAGTACTAAGATTCTATTAAGGGCAGAATGCAGCTTTAGTGGTCTGAGTGACTGAAAGATTCTAGTGACAGAAATCTAGTGCTGAGTCATTGATCTCAGATGGAAGAATGTCTGAAGGGCAGGAGACATTTAAAGTTCCACATAGGGAAAGGAAAACCTAGAGAAAAGTAATGAAAAGGGTGGGCATGGTGGTGCATGCCTTTAATCCCAGCACTTGAGAGTCAGAGGCAGGCAGATCTCTGTGAGTTCAAGGCTAGCCTATTCTGTGTAGCAAGTTCCAAGCCAGCCAGTGCTATATAATGAGACTGTCAGTAGTAGTAGTAGTAGTAGTAGTAGTAGTAGTAGTAGTAGTAGTAGCAGTAGTAGTAGTAACAATAATAATGAGAAGTAATCATGGAGTCCAGGTGTTTTAAGACTGAAGTGCCTTCTATAATCTTAGTAATCCTTCTGACCTGGCATCTGACTCTTGATGGGGGAGGTCAACCCAGTGCAGCCATTGTCCATTTGTAGATTGTTCTTCATTCCATTCTCCTGACTTGGTCAATAATCTAAAGTTTAGTCATATCCAGAGTCTCGACCTAGCATATATCTTAGAAGCAGACCAGAGAGAGAGAGAAAAGCTTAAGCTGTCTTTGCCTTCTCCCTTTTAATTGCTTGGCAGGAAACAATTAGAAGAATGGCAAAAATCTAAAGGGAAAACCTATAAACGACCTCCTATGGAATTTAAAACAAAAAGAAAAATAATAGAGGAAATGAACATATCATTCTGGAAGAGCATTGAAAAAGAAGAGGAGGAAAAGAAAGCACAATTGGAACTGTCCAATAAAATCAACAGCACACTGACAGAATGTCTGCGGCTCATTGAAGAGGTAAGTGAGAAAAATGAGCTTCAAAACGTGGCCCAGAGTCTTGCTGCTTCAAAACATCTTTCTTTTAATGCAAAGGAAATAACGTTCTCCTAAGCAGAAGTCTGGCTACTCTTTTTAGTACAGAATAATAATAATAGCAGCACTCACAAGGGTGAAATGTATTAAATAGTGGCTCAGAGAAGTTGGGAAACTAGCCCACGCCTTGGACTCCAGAGAAATCCAGATGGAGTTCTGCCTTCTCCAGGTATCAGTGTCCAAAGAGTAAGTAATTAGCATTGATATGTGAAATTGAAGTCAAAACTCAGGGTTATTTCAAATCAGAATACCCTAAGTACTTTTGGTTGCTAGAAATGCTATCTAAATTGTGTCTTAGATTCTGCAGATCAAGATAAAATGAATGGTAGGCAAATGGTATGAGCCTTATGAGAGTCCCTGAATAAACAATTTATTAATAAAAACTAATATGATAGACCTCTAGGCAGAGGTTCCTCCCTAAAGCAGAAATAAGCCCATTCTGGTAGTATTGGATGTTAGCAAAAAATGAACTCGGAAGGTGGGGGGAAATTTTCACAGCAATCAAACATTAACTATTTCTCCTTTGTGGCATTAAACTTCAGGGGTTTTCTTGTATGATTGTTTTGCTCTTTTCTTTCATTTTTTAAATATATGAATACATTCTTTTGTGTGAATGTGGGTGCATATATGTGTATGTGTAAGTTTGTGCACATTTGTGTGGAGGCCAGAGGACAGCCTCAAGTGTTATTTCTCAGATACTGTTTTTCTTGCTTGTTTTGGTTTGATTTGGTTTGGTTTTGAGACAGGGTCTCTCACTGGCCAGGACCTTGCCAAGTAGACTAAGATGGCTGGCTAGCTAATGAGTCCTAAGGATCTGTCTGTCTCCACCTCCCTGGTACTGGGATTATAAGCATGCATTATCAGTCTCAGCTTTTTTTTTTTTTTTATGAGTAGGAATGTTTTGCCTGCATGTATATAAGTGCACCCATGCAATGCAATGCCTGCAGAGGCAGAAGAGGGTGTTGGGTCCCCTGGAACTGAAGTTACAGGTGGTTGTTAGCTGCCATGTGGGTGCTGAGAACTGAACCTAGATTATCTGCTAAAGCAGCCAGTGTTCTTGACCACTGAACCATCTCTCCAGCGCAGTCCCAGCTTTTGTTACATTGTTTGTTGCTATTGGACTCAAGTCTTGGTGCCTACAGGGCAGCACTTTACTAATGAGCTCAGTCTCCAGTTCCCTGTTATGCATTCTTATTAAAATGATTCCAAATAACACTACAGATTAATAACCAGACCTCTTCCCCTTTCTCTCTCTCTCTCCCCCTCCTTTCTCTCTATCTCCCTAGCCTGCTCTTTGAAGATAGTGATCATTCATTACCAGCTATCCCTCCAATTTTTTCTTTTTTGAGTATTTTATTTATTATTTTTTATGTGTATGGGTGTATTGCCTGCATGCATATAAGTGTACCCAGGTCATACAATGCCCACAGAGGTCAGAAGAGGCTGTTAAATCCTTGTAACCCTCCAGTTTTTCTGTATGTACAACTATAAGCATATGGAGAAATGAGGCAGCTTGTTTTGTTTTGCAAGTTGCAATTATTTTTTTTATTTTTTTTATTTTTATTTTATTTTATGTGTGTATTGCCTACATGTAGGTAAGTGCACCCGTGTCGTGCAATGCCCGCAGAGGTCAGAAGAGGCTGTCAGATCCCTGGGACTGGAGTTACAGACAGTTGTTAGCTACCTTGTGGGTGCTGGGATTCAAACCCAGGTCTTCTGCAAGAACAACCAATGTTCTTAACCACTGAGCCATCTCTCCAGCCCTGCAATTATTTTTATATATGTTTGTTATCTTATGTTTTCCTAGTCTCCATCAAATGAGTTAAATATTCTCCCTTTTGTGCTATACTCAGAAAATAGTTTGTACATCTTTCAAATTTTTATGTGGTCATTGTTCTATTTAGGAGTGATATTTCTTTACCCAATTATATAGTGAATGCGTGCCTTTTTTAAAAAGCAGACTTACTAGACTTGGGAGGCTAAGGCAGACAGATCACGAGTTTGAGGCCAGCCTGGAGTATATAGTGAGTTCATACCCACTATTTGACATATTGAGCCTCTCTGTCAAAAAAACAAAGAGTAGACAGATCAGACTTGCCAAGGATTTAAGATTATAAAAATCTTTTGGATTTTAGTAATTATTTTTTCTCATTTGTCAGTACCTGTACCTATTAGGTCTGTTGTTACTTTCCTAGCTTTTAGTTGAAAGTTTAGATAATTTAAATGAGTCTGATTTTCCTATAAATATGATGAGTGCTGTGAATTTGCTTCTTTTTTAAATATTTCACTATTTTTATTTTACATGTATGAGTGTATTGCTTACATGTGTGTTAGTGCACCCGTGTTGTACAGTGCCCACATAGTCAGAAGAGGGTGTTGAATTCCCTTGGAACTGGAGTTACAGATGGTTGTTAGGTTCTGGGAATTGAACCTGGGTCCTCTACAAGAGCAGCCAGTGCTCTTAACTGCTGAGCCATCTCTCCAGCCCCTAAATTTTACTTCTAACATCACTAAGATTTAACTAAGTACTCCGTCAGGATCAAGTCACAAAAACAGATGCCTTCTCACCTTTCTCCAGCATGCCATCCTATAGGGCAGTTAAGAGCACTTCATGCTGCTATTAGTCATGTGGGAAATTCTAGCTTCTACTCACCGATCACGTCACTTATGAATATGTGGTATTTTTAATACGTTTAGTGTATAAGAAGTATTTATTGCTTACTCTAGGGCTTGGTTTGGTTTGGGTCTTGTACCCCATGAAAATACAGAATATATCCCTTACCTTCAGCTATGGTAAACGTTTGCCTATTTTTGTCTCAGGTAACTTAAAATTTAATGATGTTTCCAAAATCATTGAAATGTATGATTAAAATAGGGACATTTTGTTCTATTTGTTATATATGTCAGTAAAATTGAAATTTTACTTCAGAAAAATTAATGATCAGACTAATATTGCATACCTTCAGAGATGTGATAGTAACATTGTGGTGATAATAATTATTTCTGGGTGTTTTCTTTTTCCAGGGTGTACTTTCTAATGAAATATTTACCATATTGTCCAGCATTCCTGAAGCTGAAAAATTTGCCAAGTTCTGGGTCTGCAAAGCAAAGTTATTGGCAAGAAAAGGCACCTTTGATGTTATTGGGCTGTACGAAGAGGCCATTAAAAATGGGGCAACAGTGAGTGTTTGTCTTGGATGGGTGACTTCTTAAAAATTCTCTTTCATGTACTTTCTTTGTTGTTTGCAGTAAGATGATTCTGTAACGCAGTGTTTAGCTTCTGTTCATAGGGGGTAAGAGGGTGATGGGGTAACATGATCAAAGTACATTATATGCAAGTGTGACAGTCACAGTGAAACCCTTTGTTTTGTACAGTTAATACACATTGAAACAACATTCTACTTCACTTCATAAAGCAATTACAGAATTTGAAGTATAATAGGAACTTTATGAACATATCAGTTGTTGTTAGAAACTAGTGTTGACTAGTTTATGCTAACAGAATCAGTTTCTTGCCGGGCGTGGTGGCACGCGCCTTTAATCCCAGCAGTCGGGAGGCAGAGGCAGGCCGATCTCTGTGAGTTCAAGGCCAGCCTGGTCTACATAGTGAGTTCCAGGACAGCTGGGGCTACAGGGAGACCCTGTCTCAAAAAGACCAAAAAAACCAAAAAAAAAAAAAAAGAATCAGTTTCTTGTCAAGTAATCTTGTCTCAATACTAATTGCAGAAATATGCAATTTTGGGGAGTATTAGTGGAAAGTTATAACATCAATATCTAATAAAAAGAACTTAAAATATATTAAATTCAATACATCAATAGCCCTAAGTCAGTAATTCAGAGCCATTGCATGAAGTAGCTTATTTATTCTAAAACCTAACATAAACCACCATCTACAAATTTTTTACAAAAGATTATATCAAATTATCTTACAACTCTTTTTACTTAAGTAATTTTCCATTCCGCACTCCAGTACTTAATTCCATGACTGTTCAGAATTGCACATGTACACAGTTCAGAGTCCAGTCAGCTTCATTCAGGAAGGCATTTTCTTTGCTCCCCTACCATTTTCTACTTCCCAGAGCAAACTGTTTCCATTTTCACTCTAGTTTCAGAAAATAGCTTGTCTTTGTTTCTTAATTTTTCACCCTTAGGCATAATTTGTGGGCTTCCAGGTGAGGAACAGTTGCTCTTGACTCCTGTCTCCTCCACGGTCACTCTGGCGTGTTTCTCTGTTACTCTCAGACACTCTACACACCCGTCTTGAGTTGGCTGTACCTCTTATTTCTAGAGCCCATACCAAGCTTCCCTCTTCCTGCATTACCTGTTTCTTCTCTAGCACTCTGGCCCCACCCTCATTGCTTGTTTTATTCTCTATTATTCATAAAAGGGCTTGTTCAAAGCTGGTGAAATTGGGCTATTTGTGTATAGCTAGCTAGCTAGCTGTATCTACATCTACAAATATTCATAATAGTTGGGTTTGAAAAGTATATTCAAAGCTCTGAGGGCTGGGGAGATGGCTCAGTCAGTACAGTGCTGGCTATACAAGCAGAAAGACCTGAGTTTGAGCCCTAGCACTATGCAGAAATGCTAGGTGTACTGGCAGCCTTATAATGCCAGCACTGGTAAGGCAGAAAGGTAGATCCCTGGAATTGCTTGGCCAGCCAGCCTAGCCTAATCGGCAATCCCAAGTCCTGATGACAGACCCTGTCACAGAAAAACAAGGTAGATGGCTCCTGAAGAACAACATCCAAAGCTGACCTCTGGCCTCCACACGCCACATGTATGTATGTGCACACATGTGCACACACACATATACACACACACAAACACGCTGAACATGTATACACACACATATATATGTATGTACACACTAAAGAAAAGCTCTAAACATATGTATAGGGCTTCACAATAAGGTGATATGGCTGTTATTGGTTAAGGAACTCTCAGTATGAGTATCTTTAGGTCTTTCCTCTTAAACTGGTGAAATTCTCTAGAGGAGGCTTTTCCAGTCTCTGTCCTGAGAACTAAAAACCATGCTGCTGGTGTTGGGGAGAAGAGAGCTCAGAATATCAACCCTCAGCCTGGAAATGTTGATTTCTCCTATTTTCAAGTAGGCACTCGCCCCAGTCTTGCCTGATATGCTTCAGGAACATGGAGAATATCGTCCGAGTTTCCTGTTAGGATGAAGAGGATAGGGCACAGTCACCAGGATGATAGTGTCAGGGTCGTAGGGGAGATTTGGAGGTCTGACTCTTGAACAGATGCTCCACAGTCCTCCTGGTTTAGGCCTGGCCTCCCATTCTTTGAAGCTCTGAAGTGTGGATCAGGGTTTTCCTCAGCCACACTGCCAGCTCAACTGACTCTCTTAAGGTGGTCCAGTGGATATCCTCTCTTAGCATTCCAGCTTCCAAAATCCTTGTTGCTGTTTATTCTGTGTAGTTACTTCCTCTTTTCAATCCTTTATTATCATTTTAGTAAAATATCAAGAGAGATAGAAATAAATATATGAAGTCCACCATCTTTAACCAGAAACCTCTACAAATATAAATATGCTTAATGAAGCTGGGCTTCACTCCTGTAATCCCAACACTTAGAAACCTGAGGCAGAAGGAGCGCCACTAGTTCAAGACTACCCTGGCCTACATAGTGAGTTTCAGGCCAGATTGGGCTATAGAAAAATACCCTTGCCTCAAAAATAAATAAGTAAATAAAATAAAATACACTTGATGAAAGTATTTTATAATTCAGACCCTTTGCAATATATCCTGTATATTTCTTTATTCCTACTTCAGTAAGCTTAAAGCATAACTCTGTTTTGGTTTTTTTAGTGTATTGAAATCTTTACTCCTATATTCTATTTTTATTATACATCCATTTTTAATTTGATACAGAGTCTTAGGTCTGAAGGAAAACTTCTAAATATAATGTTTCCATAAAAAACAACAGTTCACTTTGTGATCTACTTTGTAGCATGGCTCACATACTTTTCTATACAGTTGGAATTTTTGTTTTTTTCTTTGGTCAGTTGAGTTTTTTGTTGTTGTTTTTTAAGGTATGCTATTTTAACAAATGAAAGAAGAGGGAGGGGAGAAAGGGCTGGGGAAAGTTGCTCAAAATGCTAACAAAGATTATGTTTGAGTGATGAGACTATGGGTGAAAGTCTTTGTTGAGTTTAACCTGTAGTTCATTCTTGGTGAAATGAGATATACAGCTTTTATGATGAAAACAAGAAATAAGCTGACAGCAATAATACATGTTACGTTTTCTATATAGCTGGCTTTGTATCTTTGAGCCACAATCTTTATGTGAGAGCACATTTTCATTGGCATGATACAGATTAAAAGGAAAATAGAATTTGATTAGAGAAATCCTTTATAAGCAAAGTCAAACATATCTCTTCAATAAAATCAGATACACCAGCATTTAACTGACACTTTCTGTTTCTTCATTTTTCTTCAACTTTTAAAGTATATTTATAGCTGGGTAAAAGTTTTTTTTTAAGATCTTTATTGCAGAAAGTTTAATTTAATGGTCAAAAGTTCCTGAGCTCATTTTTTCCATAAATGCTTTTAATACTAATTATTTTTTTCCCTCCAGCCAATACAAGATTTACGGGAAGTTGTTCTTAGCATTTTGCAAGATCCAAGCAGAAACACAGAAGGTACTGTTATTTTTGTGTTTGAATCCATTCCCTCAAGACGTGCAAGTAAAAATCATCTAGAGACATGTAGGAGATAAACAGTAGTCCCCAAAACACCTCTGACCTCTTGGTTTTCATCATCCACTGATTTATTTCTGTTATCACAAGCAAATATATGCCTAACACTAAACAAAGGTTATGTCCACCAGAGAATCTAGATGAGCGTTTCCTGCTTTCCTGGTGTCTTCAAGGAAGAAAACAAAGCTGTTTATCAAAAAAGATAGAGGCAAAAGGATGATGCCTTGGCTTCAGATATGAGATCATAATAAGCCCAGCATCACTCACTCATCTAAATTCATGTTGCCTTTTAAAATAACCATCTCCAGAGTCTCTTCACTTAGCCATTGCTGTCAGTGTTTAGAACCTTTAGAGGATTTGTGTAAGGGAACTGGTGTGCCAGACTCAGTGACATAGAATTGCTCGTGATACTTGTTATGTGAATGGAAAGGGAGGGTGGGCTCTTTTTAGAAAATGCAGTGCATTCTTATTATCTAGATGACAAATCTTTTTCCTTTAAAATCGTTTTAAGGTAGCTGTGGTGGCTCATTTGTAATCCCACTTCAAGCAGGAGGATTGCCTCGAATTCAAGGCCAGACTGGGTTACAAAGTCAGATCCTATCTCAAAAAAAATATATATTTGAGTCATGGGATTATAGCTAAGAACAGAATAGATCTATTCAGTGGTGGACTCAGGGAATGAAATGATAGCTCAGATAGTATGTGGTCATGGAATGAAAGGGGAAATGGAAATTCCTGCCTTTGTGCTCCTTGTTCCTACTGACCTCTGGGAGGGGTGGGGGTCTCAGCCACTAGACTCATTATCTGCCCACTTCAGTCTAATTAACTTCCTTTAACATTTGAGTGGTTATGATTGAACTGTCAAAAAAATAATGTGACCATAAGACATTTTTTTTTTCAGTATCCAGGGTAATAACCAGGTAGTTAACCCCAGGTAAGGAGGGGCTTGAGAATTGATCCTAATAATGTCAAGAAAATTGATCCACAATGTGGTAAAAAGGTAAAAGTCTCTAAGAGAGCTCTCTTGAAAGTGAAGAAAAGATTGGGATGTGGTCAGTATTGAAAAGGATATCCAGAATCCATTTTCAAGTGACAAAGAATCCTAAAGAATGTCTCGAATGCTAATTGGTGGGGTGACCTGATATCATAGGGCAATGCAGTGGGACTTGACAGGAAAGGGTCACTAGAGGGAGCTGGAGGGAGAGAGTGGATGTGATCAATATATGTTGTATAAATGTATGAAACTTTCAAAGAATAAAAAATATTATTTTAAAAAGTAGAATAAGAAAAAACTCATAAATATCAGTTTAAGTCATACCTCTTTGTTTGCTATATGGAGTCCATGAGAGTAACTGGGAGATCATTGTATATATTGCCTTTTCATTTTACTGATTTTTAATTTAAGTTTTAAATTGCTGAATCTTACTTCCCTTCCTGACCTTGTGTGCATGGGAATTACCTCAGACTCTTTAGCTGCTGAAGCTAATATCACATCAATGGAAGAGCTGGCGAAAAAGGAAGAATCCGGGCAGTCTTGTCTTTCTCCAAAAGAGAGAGAGCAGATTACAGCAACACCCCAGATAACCATGGCAGAACTTGGTAACTGTGGTATCAAGTTACAGATTGCCCCAATCCCTAGGTAAGCAAGCTCTAAAGCAGACTTTTGAGCATAAACCTAATTCTTGTTGAGTTCTCTTCCTCTTCCACCATCTGAGTAATAGCAGTTTATAGATGCCTCTGCTTCATAGGAGATCAAGGGCCTAATCAGTCTTTGGCATTCAGGAAGGAGCCAAGAGTAAGCAGAGGTTGGAAACATCAAAAGAGAATCTGAGTCTTTTCTCTGTACACACACCATCCCCCTCCTCCCACCCCAAAAAGAATGACGTGCAGTGAAGTGCTGCCAAGTCAGGAGGGGTGCTGGGGTGGACTCTCCCTCCTGCCTACATTCGTTCCTCCCTCTTCACTCTTATTTGTCCCACACTTGGAGATCCTTCCTGCCAGCCTGGCACAGAAGAAGGGAGTTAGACAGTACTAACTCCCAAGTGTGGGCACCTCTGGATCTGTGGGAGAGAAGGGGCAGTGAATAGCTCTGTTTGAACAGGGAGGGCGGCTGAGTATGTTGCAGTCAGAGTCTGCTCCAAGCATTCTGTTTTTCTAAGAAGTGTATGTTTAAGGCAGAGCATACAGTCATTTTAAGGAGCTATGTCAGTGTACACAAATGTCATTTTCTAAAAGGGAAGCTTACTATTGCTCTCCTGTCTTCATGATCTTGAAGAATTCTAAACAAGAGTACCAAGATAACAGTTCTGTGTCTTACCTTCCCTAAGAAGCACAAGTGGGCCTTCTAACTCTAGACTAACCCCTTAGACCCCATTGCCCCACTCCTTCAGCCCATGGATGGTTGGAAGCAGCCAGCTAATCCACAGCCCACCTCCTACTAGCTCCAAAATCATAGGAGCTTTTTAGCAGGCCTGCCTGCTGCTTTTGTGTAGGCTGATAGAATCAGTGGGTTTGTGAGTTGTACATCAGTCACCGTATCCTGTCCTCCAGACTGCTGCTTCTCAGGATGCATTTGCAAGTTTATAATGAAAATGCCCAAGTTGTTCCAGTTTCACTGTGTGGTTTGGTCCAACATCTTAATAGGTTTTTGAGTAATTTACTGTGAAAGCTAGAAAGAATCTTATAATTCATTAGTGCAGTGAAGCTTAGTGTTAGGCCCAATTTCTCTAAACTTGGAAGTTTATGAGATAAATGAATAGCAACTATAAAGCAGTTGACTTCAAATAAAACCATCATTCACATTTTGTTCATTAGATCCTTATGCTCACACCATCCAAGAGCAGGTGGCTGTCATCCAGTACACCTCAGAAGTCAGGGAAAGGCTATAATAGCTTGAGAACTGCTCTAGATTTAGCCCTTATGTCAACTTAGTGTCTGATATGCTTTATTATGGAATAAGAAACAAAGAATAACAAATAGAATTTTTTGTCCTGTAAAGTCTTTGAACACCTCTTCTGTGGTCTTTCAGAATATGTGGTATGCCAGAAGTACAAGACATGAAGCTCATCACTCCCGTCAGGCGCTCAACAAGGATCGAGCGGGCAGTGTCCCGCTACCCAGGAATGCTACAGGACCATGATGTGGTAGTGGCTTCTCTTGACGAGTTACTGGAAGTGGAAGACACAGAGTGCTTTGTATTCCGTAAAAATGAGGCTTTGCCTGTAACATTAGGTTTTCAGATCCTTGAATCATAATCTTTTCATGCTCTTTTAAGAAACAAAAACAAACAAAAAAAGAGCAGCTATTTCAGGGCTTCCAAAAGATAAGAAACATCCTTGTCCCAATGACCTGAAATAAGTGTACACAGAGACACCGTGAATGCAAGTGAATGCAGATTATAGACACTTGGGATTGAAGAAGTAACGCATTGGGTTTACTCTCAAATTGTATGTCCCCATGGAAAAGCCTTTGAGATGTGCATTTTGTTATATAGTTTATGACAGTTTTACAGCATACATAAGTTTCAAAATATCAAATATCTCACAAATGTAGGGAAAAAAATTGCACTTTGCTGATCTACTTTAATCCCATTATAGTTAATTTTTATACCCAAAGATTGATGCTACTATGGCAGGATGGACTTTCCTTTTAGCATCTACCATAGAAAGGAGAGCCCATTCTTACAGTGGGAAGACTGGCGCTTTGAACCCAGCTTGCCAGGCTGCACAGTCAGACCTGGCCTGTTACAGGCTGTGTAATAAGATGGTCGTGCCTTTGCTCAGAGATCACAGGTGACATTTATGGTGTTCTGTGACTTCCATCACTGAGTCCCTACAGGTGAGGGGTAATTCTTGTCCTCTCTGTGCAGGTCTCTTGATGAAGCGCAATCCAGGATTGGGGTGGCCATCTAGCTTTTTATGTATAAACCTAATTTTGCATTTGGTATTTGGAAACACTTCAAGTAAAAACAAAAGTGGGGAGCAGGGCACTTGATCAGTTCTTTTCCCTGCCAGCCAGAACGTGGTTATCCTGAAAAGGCAGTGTGAGGCCCAGAGACTATGGCAGGGTATTTTTTCTTCTCCTTGGGCAACTGCTTTTAGAAGGAAAAGCAGAGTCATTTTGTAAATACAATGTATAGAAAAGTCTAATCAACACATTTTTAAAGGTTAGCTTTCTTACTATTAAGTGTTATTAAGTAATATCTAAATAAAACATTAAATTGTTGTTCACACTTGCTTATTTGTTTACCTGTTTATTATAGTGTTAGTAGCTTGGCAAGAGAAGTAGGGGTTTCTCTGAGGAAACACTGATATACTACCCCAAGAACTTCATGGGGAGCATTCATTGCCTGGATCAAGAGTCTGACCATCAGCCTCATGAGGACTTTGATTTTTTTTTTTTTTTTTTCCGCTGTGAGAGAAGCAGATCTGTCTCTCAAGATCAAGTTTATGATACCAAGATTCACAAAATTGGCCTATAAACCATAATGCCAGGGAACTCACTCTTCATGAGAAATAGGCATCCATCCCCACAACTGACATGCAGGAGTCCATGCACCCAGCTCAAAGGGTAGCCTAGTGACTGCGAGACTTGGAGAAGCATGAGAATCACCAGACTGAGTCTGGAGCAACTCTCCAGTGAGGGAAGGACTTGCTTCAGTTCATACACAGGTCTTTGGGATGGAGCCTGCAGTACACCCTTCACACCCTCCGTTAGTGAAAATCACTAACCTTTTCTCTGGCTTCTAGAAGGGCTTGCCTCACTGTCTATACTCTCCCCTCCCCAAGCCTGAGAAGCAGCTTGTGCTGGTTCCACTTTGCTCTCCTCGAAACCATTGTTTTGCTGTTGCAGCAGCTTTCCCGTCTTCACTGCCAGCTCCTTGCGGGCTGTCTGGCAGGACCTCCCTGGCACTAACAATACAGTGTAGGTTGAACTGCTGGCATCTAATAATGTATAATTTCAGAAGGACAAGCTGGAGGTTTTGCAAAGCCTGATTAAACTAAATAGGGCCTCCTGATCATGAAAATGATTGAGGATGCTATAGCAAGTGCAGAAAGTGTGCCTTGATTCTGAGGCTTTTTGCAGATAGTGGTTAAAGTTCTCATTTAGTAAATGAATGTTTCTAGATAGAAGGGGCAGGAGGGAGGGAAGAAGGCAGGCCCTTAATCACGTGAAAGGCAGGTCTACAGGGAATTGTAATAAAAATATGAGCCTTTGTAAAGGCAGCTAATGTGATTTAGGGGTGGCTTTTTAGAGGGATTGGTGTACACCACTGTGCAGAATGACAGAATCAGAAGACATGGGGGAGATGCACTTTGTAGTGTTTACTGCCAAGGCTCTGCTGAGTTCGCTACATGCTAGAAGAGACTATTTGTGCTTTCCTGGCATGTATCCAGACTCCCTAATTTAGTAACATGTAGAGGACACTGCAGATGCCAGAGGTAATAGTAGAGGGCCAAACTGACCTAACCCCAAGGAGTAGAGGGGCTAGTGGAAACGCTTGTTAATCAGAGTCACAAATGAAAAGTTTAGTCCTAAGAAAGAGGTCTGTGGGCAAGAACTCAACACACTGGTCTAGCTGGAACTGTAACATGCCCCAAAGCCTGAGTTAAGAATAGGGATAAAGAAGACACAAAAGAACACCTTGGGCCTGGGAAAGTGTAAAGGCCTCCTTTCCTTTTCTATCCCTCTTCCTGTCCCTCTCCTCTCCCCATCTTTTCTCCCTCCCTGAGCCCTCCTAAGGAACTTCTACTGGTTGTTTATACCTAGGTCCTTATATTCTTTCAGCTATACTGCATTTTAGGACCTTTCTAGAAAAGCATAAACCTTAGGGGCTGAACAGTCTTTCTGAGAAAATGCCTCTAGTTCAGTAATGATCTAGTGTTTAAAGACACAAAGTCAGTGGCACTTGGTCCTTGCCTGGAAAGTTGGCCCCTGCAGATTGTGGGACCAGAAAGTCCATCCTGGCAGACAGAGAGAGGTCTTAGCAGTGCCAGACCAGAATGCTTCTAAAATGCACGAGAGATGTGAAAAAGTGAACTTCCTAAACATAAGGCCTGTGTCCCTTAGAGATCCTCAGACATTCCAAATAATTCCCATTGATCTACAAAAAGTGCAACTAGAGCTGTGCCATCGGGTCGTTCCTTCAAAGGCTTCTTTGTCATCTCCCAACAGGTTCAATCTAAGACTTCCCATAAGGGCAGTTGTCGCCACTAAGACTTAACACCAAACAGTAGGAGGGAATGAAAGTCAGGACATCAGAACAGCAGGGAGCCAGGGCCAAATCACAGAGATGCTTCTAGCAAAATGATCAAATCACAAGGATGACTTTTAATGTGTTTTAATCCATGTTCACATCAAGCTGAAAGATGGGCTATCTGATTTCCTCTGTCACAGTGACCTAGGTCAAAAGAACAGCTAACAAGATAGTCTAGCCAAGCAGGTTTTATAAATTTTGAAACAGAATCAAAGTTCACAGAAGTACTATTTTTAAAAGAAATATTTAGAAATAAAATTTAAAATGAACATGATGCAACTCTGGAAAAACTGGTTATAATGCTTCTATTTGTTGCACACACTCCAAAAAAGCTCAGAGACCATCAAGGATGCCTTCTGAGGTAACAGCAATACTCCCTCCTCCCTCAAAGATTTCCTAAGCTCCGGATTGGTTCATTTAAGAGTTTTCAATACATTTGCTTTTTTCTTCTACACTTTTCCTGTTATCTGAAAAATATCTCAAGCAGATGATCCATGATGCCAGCCCATGTCCAGGACTGAGTCAGCCACCTCGTCCTCTTCTCTGCCTTTGCGCTGAACCTTATGAGAAGCAAAGAAAGTAGCTATGGAAAGTATCTCTCAGTCGGGTTCAAAGTGTTAAAAATGGCTGAGTTAGGATGAGGATAAGGGACTAAGGATCAAAGACATGCTTTCAGGGAGAGCCCATTGTACTGACGAGAGTGGTCCAGTCTGCTGGTGGGCTATGAAGGAAAAAGATCTGAAAAAGACTGGTTTGAGATTGTGACTCCACTAGCCTCTCAAGCTTCTTTCTCCTGAGCAAGAGAAAAGTAGCTTAGTTACTTCACCTTCCCTTCCTACACCATCATCAAGCCGGAGGCACTCAGTACACACAGCATACACTGCTCCTGATCACACCCAGCTAAAGGAGATGTATGAAAGAGACTTTAATAAGCAAGCTCAAGAAAGCCAGGGTGCAAACAAGGTCCCTCATGACATCAGGAGACTCAGCCTAAAAGTCAAAGGAAGTCCTGCTCCTTGGTGTCTAAAGGCACCAAGAGAGGAAGCCCTAGCTCAGAAGGGCACACGCCTTATTCTTCTCCAGAGCAGAGGGAATAGATTTGGATGGTGAACGACAAACAGTTGTCTGTAAAGGTTACAAGGCACTGACAGCTGTTGAGCAGATCCCATGGCCCTGACAGACCTAAAAATCAAAGTTTAAATTTCTCCTCTTCTAATCTGAATTGAAATTCATAACTAATATCATTATCTCCATAATTTTTAATGCCTGCATTGGCCACTGTTGCCCCATCCCATGGTAGCCACAAGCCACAGAGCTTCTCAGCCACAGTGCAGTGGCTCCTCCCACCTCTGCTGTGAAGGGCAGAGCTTATGGCCTTCCAGTCACTCACCTTCTGGACACAGGAGAGGAAGCAGGAGGTAGGGTCCTGGTTGGCCCGTTCTTGCTCAACTACCAACTCATGAGGCATCTGTTGGAGTGAATGTGGATGGAGATTAAGCAGTTCCATTGATAGAAAGGCCCCTCAGGACTTTCTCAGTTATGCATAGCCTCTCAGTCCACAGTGACAGGTTCATGCACACAGATACCACAGACAAAGGAGCCCAAGAGAGTGCAGAATGGAAGATAGGTTCTGGCACCTGAACTTCCCTTCCTCAAAAAAACAGGCCAAAAGGTCAATTTTCTTTAAACGTTTCCCCTTGTCAGGGGAGTTGTCTTTTCTTCCTCTGCCTGACCTCTGCTTAGCAATGATATCTAACAGCACAGATGATTATGCCTGGGACTTTCAGCAAAGAAGAGCTCTCCGGATCGCCCATCTAAGAGAGGTGGTGCAGTGTAGGCAGCAGGGCATAGCCTTAGAGCCCTGAATTCAAGTCCCAGCTCTGTGATCTACTAGCTGTGTGACAGCATGTGACTTAGAGTCTCTGCATTGCCATTTCAACAACAGTAAAAGAGGAGGATGAAGCCTACTTTTCTGAGTTATACTGAATATTGAGCAGAATTGGTGACAAGCATCCAGCCCAGTGGAGGGAACATAGCAGATACTCGATAAATGAACCCGTCTTGAAAAATAGAGAAAGCAGAGGTCAGGGAGCCCCAACGACCCACTTTGTAGTCTAGCTCCTTAAGCCCAGAATCTACATCTTACAGGTTAAAAAAGGATGAGTCTTTGGGAAGACTGGCAAGTACATGCTCCAAGAACTCCCTTGCTGAAGGCCCACAGTTCCCATGAGCCTTTGCCAGTACAGCCACAGCTACCCTTACTTCACAGATCATAATCCAGAAGCATCTTAGGGTCTCCTAGAGGAAAACTAGCCTGCAGCCTTTCCTGCATCCTCTGTTGCTTGCTCCCCAGAAGCTACTGCATGTTTGCTAAGAGGAACAGGACTGCACTACTTCCCCCACAACTAGCATCATTTCTACCAGGGGGAAATGCACAATTGTGTGATCTCAGCATAAAACAGAAGTTAGGCATGAGCGAGAATATCCCTAGTAATGGCACCTTCATACATACTTATCTCCTATGCAGTTTTTTTTATTTGTAAGGCTTCGACTCCATTGTGTCTAGAAGTTGGAAACTGATCCTAGGGACTTTGCCAACTTCTGTAAAAGTAGGAACCCATGGGTCCTTCTTGGGTAGAGTCAGGAATGGTCAGGGAGACCCACCAGCTCTGGCTTGGCCCGAAACAGTGAGCTGAGTGGAAAGTGCAGGAAGTTGAGGCAGGTGGTGGTGTAGAGGTCTGCGTAGCGCATCAGCTGGCTAGAGAAGAGGGTCTGACGGAAGCCACAGTGGAACAGGCTGCCCATGGTGCTGTAGCACAGGTCCAGCTCCCGGGTTACCCTCTAGCCAAGGGGAAACATGATGAATCCAAATCCCGTCCACCTCCTCCCACACCACCTTTGACACTGAGTTCTCACCCTGGGGGTGAATACTCTCTGCTGGGACCAGGCCAGCCCCGCCTTTACCCAAACCCTCTGGGGATTGGGTTTATGTCCCCCTGCAGGAAAAGAGCTGCCTGTTTAAAACTCACAGGTTGCTCACTTGTGCTTGGGGGTTGGAGGCGGGTATTTATTTGGTTGATTGGTTTTATGTTTTGAGACAGGGTCTCCCTATGTAGCCCAGGTCAGTCTAGAACTCACACTCTTGTCTCGGTGCCTCAAGTGCTAGGATTACAGGTGTGTGCCATTCTGAGGCTTTTATTTACAGGCGTGTGCTCATTTTGTGGGGCTTTTATTTTTAGTGCTGGGCTCACACCCAGGACCTCATGCATGCTGGCAAGCACTCCTTATGGAGTTGTACCCAAACTTGTGGAGAAAGGATATGTCTCCACTTTGCCACAGGCCCTACTCCTGCCTTCTCCTGCAGTGACCCCCTCAACCCAGAAAAGTGATCACCAGGGTCTAAACTCAGCAGAGAACTTGGCAAGGCCCATATACCCAGCCCCGCTACCACTCTCCTGGCAAATCCTCACCCCTCCTCCAGACCCTGCTTTCAGAGCTAGAAACTGGCCCAAACAGTTTTCCCTCTCTGAACCTGTTTCTTTATCTGTAAAATACAGGTGACAGTCCGTGACAGTCTACCTGACAAGACTGAGGACCACTCAAATGGCTGTGTTCTACGTGCGTTAAGCTTTACAATCTGCAAAAAGTTCTGCAAAGATCCTTTATTACTGATCCAGTTTGGCCTAGGACTGCCAAGTGTTCTGACACCCTTGGACCAGGCTGGTCTGTGGGACTCTCCCAGCTTTGCTGGCTGATCAGAAAACGCCAGGGGAAATGTCCTTTCTTCTTTTCCCTGAACTACTCAGCTCACTAGCCCTGAATCCCATTTTCTGAGGCCCTTTCTCCAGTGACCCCAGACATCCATCATAGTTAGCTAGTCAGCCACATGAGATCCAGCCTAGCAGTCAGGTGCTTCTCAGGAATGTTAGTGGTGGGGACTGAGGGACACGAGAGAGGCAAGTCCCAGAAATCAGGTTGAACTCAATCAATCCTTCCACCAGAGCACTTGCTGTCATTTGAAACAACTACCAGCAGAGGGCACTGTAGGACAAGGTCAGGTGGTGCTTAGGCTTGGAGAGAATGGAATAGCTGGCTGGGCTCCAGGATGGAAACAAATTAGATCTAGACAGAAGGGGGGATACCCCCTCAACACCTGTTGGGTTTATCCCTTCCTTACCACCTAGCACTTACTTGAATCTCTTTCTTGGTGGAGCTGATGGCTTGTAGCCCACGACTGCTCCCATCCATGTTCCTGGTGCAAAAATGGTCACATGACCCAGGAGAGAAGTGGAACATGACCTCCCTCGGCCCGGTATAGGGAGGGAAACTCGAGGCGATACAGGACATGAGGAGAGGGCAGGCCAGAGCCTGTGCCCCATGGATTAGGAGGAAAGTCTCAGAAGGCACAGGATGAGCTTGGTCCCAAAGTGGGCAGTAGAGTTACTAGGGAAGTCTAGTCCAAAACATACCCATTTGGTTTCTGGGTGACCTTGGCCCAACCTTGCAGCCAGGCCAGGCTACCAGTCCTCATTCCTCTTCCAACCACCCTCAGGAAGGTCAGAACTTACTCATACAGATTTGCCAGGCATGTGTCCAGCCTCTTCAGCTGTTCTAGCTGCCCTGAAAAGCAGGGGTAGGGGACAGCAAGGGTGAGGGACAAACCCACTGCCTTTGCCCACTTCTGTCTGCCTCCGCTAAAATATTCACGAACTCTTTGGTCAAAGAAGACTGCACCCAGAGAAAAGCAGGACAGCACAGGCCCTGTGGGACAGGTGACAGCAGCACTCCGGAAGTCAGTTGACCTCCAAATCACAAGGCAATGACTCAAACCAGCAACACTTAACACACCCCAAATTGTTTGGGCTCAAAGCAAGCAAGCCCTGAGACAATGATGGTTTTACATCTTTCCTGAGTGAGACAGTGTATAGCTCCACTCACTGAAATCCTCAGGACAGGTGAGGAGACGTGAAGAGGAAGCCCTACCCTAGAATCACCTCATCAGGAAATGAAGATCTCAGTCCCAGCTTGGTCCCTACGACCTATGTGACTGGGCAGGCCGATTAACCTCTCTTGGTCTCTGCTTCCTTGGTAGAAAAATAGATCTTCCCTCATTAGCCACAAAGTGCTCAAGATTCCCTTCATAGAAGAAGACAAAGGTACAAACAGACGACCCTAGCTCACCCTTCTCTTGGGTCCAGATGCTCAGCTCCCGAGACACCTCAGGAACTACGAGACAAGTCCGCCAGCCCTGTCGCTTCTTAGACTTGACAATGTCCCCAAAGATGTGGTCCCCAATGTACAGGATGTCCTTTCCCCGCACTCCAAGCAGCTCACATACCATGTCTGATGAGCCTGACCCAGCAAAAGAGGATGGATGCTTGCTCACCATCCTGCCCTGGGGAGCAGTTTGGTGGCATAGAAGAAGGTGGGCATCCATGGGCAACAAGGATGAGGTGGGAGTTGATACCTCCAGAGTAGACAGCACAGTGTTGGTGGGGTCCAGTGTAGGTGCCCACCCGGAGCTTCCCAGAGTCCTAGTGGGGCAAAGGGAGCTCTGAGCCATGAGAAACAGGTCTTTCCTGGTCAGGGAGGGCTGAGTGACTCCAAGTGGTACTACTACCATTGTGATGAGGGAGGAAGGATGTTGCCAGGCCCTAAAGTAGTCTCCTGGATCCCTGCCTCCAGGGACAGGAGAGACCTTGATCCCTACTCTGTCCCTGCCAGGCCATCATGACTTACCTGTTTGCTGTTAGTGAGGCAAGTGTCTTTGGGACGGATGGGTCAGCCAGCATCAGTTACAAGCAAGGTCAAGTCTAATGTCAGAAAGCCTCCCCTCCACCAAGCACAGGACCTCAGCACCAGCCATTACCATGTTGACCTGCCTCAGAACTGTCCCTTCCGCAAAGAAGCGGGGCTTCTGTGTGTCCACCACAATCAGGTCAAAGTAAGACCTCCAGGTCCTGGGTGAAGCCTCATCCTGGATAGAGTATAAGAACATGACAGGTATACTGGACATGCCTGGCCCAGGAAGTGTGACCCTGCTGCAGCCTGCCCCCTCCCAAGCAGCCCTCCTCCCCCAACCTAATAAGACCCAGAAACATGGGACAGGACCATAGTCACCACCTACCCAACAATATTGATCACACTCAGAGCCCAAGTCCTGTCCCATGCTCTCCTCCCTGGGTCTTAAGGCCCTCAGCTCACCATCTGCTCACCCCCAAACACCTGACTGCCTCTTAACGGACTTTCAAGAAAGCCCTAAGTGATCCTGCCCCACCCACTCAGAGGCTCCAGTGAGGCCCACCCACTAGAAATGACCACTCATATACTTCCTCCTTGAGAAGGGCTTAAACGTGGGAGAAGCTGGCCCTCCTGCCCTTTGCACAGAGCCCCCTGACCCATCCAGTCCAAGACACTTGCCTCACCAACAGCAAACAGGTAAGTCATGATGGCCTGGCAGGGACAGAGCAGGGATCAAGGGTCAGACACAGGCTAGGCCAAAGGGCCACTGCCTGCCTCTGCCCTCACTTCACCAGCTCCCATCCCGGACCCTCAGGCACAAGATGGTAGGAAAATTGGTGTTGAAAGGCCAAGCAATGGAACCTGAGATCCCAGCTGGGTGATGAGGGTTAGAAAGCCTTTGTTCCTCCCCTCCAGTGTCCTAGTCAGTGTCCCCTTGGGCCAAGAAGGGAGCCAGGCCCTACCCCCTCCACACACACACACTCACATCAGTGTAGTTGTAATTGCTGTTGGTAGCCAAAAACACTTTCCCAACTGCCTTCATCTTGTCCAGCAGAATGGGGATTTGTGCCTGGGGCAAAGAAGGAGTGATTTCTCAACCTGTGAGAGCAGGGCCTCTAGAGCTGTGCTGGATCCCCTTCATGGGTTTCAGCTCCGGGTGCCACTCTCAACCCAGCCTCCCTAGCACAGATCCAGAGCTCTTGAGGGAGATGATCACAGAGGGGTTAGCCCATTTCCCAGGGAACAGGGACAGGCCAGTCATGATTTGTGACCTGTGGTCACTCACATCCTTCTCCACATATTTTTCCAAATCCTCCAGGGTCTTCTCCTTGAGACAGCCCTGCAGAAGAGAGCAGATATATGTGCCCACATGTACATAGGTGTTTGAACATGTGCATGCATGCATGCATGCCCACATGTCTATGTCCCAAGGCAGTGGGTATGTCAAGGGGAACATAGGCTGAAGTCCTTAGCAGAAACTGGAGTGAAAGGCCTATGGGAACTAGAGATCTGGGGGCTATCCAGGAGCACCAAGGGCAGACAGGTCAGAGGTCCTGGGGTCCTGGACACTCACTGACAGATGGATATTATTCATGGCTTCAGTCACATCCTGGGAGAGGCTTCGAAAGGACATGAAGAGGTTCCCATGCTGATATCCAGTGTCACAGCTGGGATAGACCAAAAGGGACAGAGGAGATGATGAGGACAGACATGACCACCATCCCCATAGCCCATACCGGAGTGACCCCTCTAGCTACTGGGGCATCAGATTTATGTCCCAGTCATCCTGAGAAGGAGGTCACCTTTTGCTAAGAGTCACTCTCAGGGGCAGCCAGGTTACAGGGTTGAGTGCTACCCTGTAGTGGAAATCTTCCCCCTGAGCTCCTGAAGGCTTGCCAATCCTTCTCTGGACTGGACCTCTGGCCCTTGATGGGGCCCCACTTTGGGGTCTGGACCCTGGGTAGGGTCCTATTGGTCACCACAGGCTGGGCAGGGAGGGACGCACTTGGTGTAGCGGGAACAGCTGGAGAAGAAGTCCACCAGGCAGGCATAAAGGTAGATTTCTGGGAGTGAGAGACTGGTCAGTCAGCTGCCCCAGGTTAGAACAAGGCCCCTGAGGACCACCTCCCCACCCTCCAGCCAGCCCTCACCAGGCAGGTTGAAAAGCGTGTTGAGGACATGGAACCGTGGCAGGTCATCCCTCTGAATGAACTTGCTGGGATAAAAGCTCCAGATCTCTGCCCTACGAGGAGGCTGGCTGAGTGTAGCCACTTTCCAGTGCCTCCCAGAAGCCAGTGCAGGCCCTGCCCATTCCTTCCCACCACACCATTCCTTCTGTTCATCTGGCCGGCATTTGTACAGAGTCATTCTTTCCTGCCTGCCTCAGTCCCTCCTTCCTCCAGCAGGTTAAGCTGTGCTCCCCTCTTCTTACCTCCCACTCTCCCCTCTACCCCTTGGCTTACTCTGAGAGGAAGGTGAAACCATGGAATGCCAGCAGCACATTTCCATGAGTGCCCACCTTCAGCAGGTTCCCGTAGAGGACATCAAACACCAGCCCTCTGGGGAGAGAGTGTAGGAGCTGTGAGTGGGGGTTCCAGGGCAGCCACAGCCTCCCACCCAGCTGAGCTCCCGAACCTGGTGGGGAAGGTAGGGTCATAGGTGTAACGCAGGATCTCGTGGGGGTACCCGATGCACACCAACCGCTCCAGCAGCAACTTGAAGGTTAGTGCCTCATAGGCTGGGGACTTGTATGCTGCAGGAGAGCAAGCAGATCAGGCTGGTTGGTAGCTAATTGCCCTTACCCTGATCCTCCCCAGCTCCAAATGCCCTTCACCAGTTCTCCCTACCAGCCAAAGTATAGTCCATGTCAAAGCCAAAGCAGCGAATCTTCCCCAGTGCCAGGCTGCGGTTGACAAAAATCCTGGGGAGAGAAAGGGAGGAGTTAGAATGTGGACCCACAATCCCCCAGAGTCCAAGACCTTGCTGGTGGGAACCCAGCAGAGGGGTGCGGTGCCCTTGTAACTGCAGAAGTGACAGGAGAAGTAAGGCGGCTGAGCCAGAGCCTCAGCTGGGCCCAATGTATCTCCACACTCATTCCAGTGTGTGAATCACATGTCTGCATGTGTCTGAGTATTCATGTAGGCATGCAGAGGGGTAAGTGTGAGCATGCATGTGAGTGTACAGTTGGTGCTTGTGTATGTCACTGTGCAGAGTGGTAGACTATGTCTGACCATGCATGTGAGCATGCAGAGCAGGTGCATGTATCTGAGTATACATGTGAGCATGCAGAGTGGATGAGTGTGTCTCAGTGTGTATGTGAGCCAGCAGAGTGGGTGCATATGACTGCATATTCATGTGAGCATGCAAAGGATGTTTAAGTGTGTCTAAGTGTGCATAAGCGAGTGCAGAGTGCATGAGTGAGTGTGCAAGTGAGTGTATACTATTGGTGCATGTGTCTGAGCTTGCATGTAAGTATGTAGAGTGGGGGGTGTGTATTAGTGCACATGTGAGTGTGTAGAGTAGGCGTATCTGAGTGTGCATGTGGGTGTGTAGAGTGGGGGGTGAGTGTGAGTGTGTGTACAGTGGGTGCATGTGTCTGAGTGTGCATGTGAGTGTGTACAGTGGGTGCATGTGTCTGAGCTTGCACGTAAGTATGTAGAGTGGGTGTGTATGAGTGTACATGTGAGTGTGTAGAATTGGTGAGTGTCTGTTCATGTGAGTGTGTATAGTGGGTGCCTGTGTCTGAGTGTACATGTGTAGAATGAGTGCATGTGTCTATGTGATGTGTGTAGAGTGGGTGCACATGTCTGAGCTTGCATTGAGTATATAGAGTAGGTACATTTGCCTGAGTATGCATGAAAGCATGCAGAGTGGGTGCATGTGTCTAAGCATGTACACATAATCAGTAGTTCATCATTTCACTGTGTGGTAACATGTAAGGAGCACTTATCTTTGGGAATTTCGGGGTGCAACTGTCAGTGTAAGGGAGCTATCCCTTTCTGAATGGAGTCAATGTGTCCAAGTTCAGAAATGTGATTGTACAGTTGTGCAGCACATGTCTCTGGGCCAGGGGTGAAGGAGAGATCCTTAGGCAGAACATGAAAAGGATTTCCTACCAGTGTCTCCTGTCAGTGCTTCCGCCCGACAGTCATTACCATCTATAAAAAGGTGTCCCTGTGATGTCATGCATCTGTGTAGTGAAAGCAATCACTGCATTTAGCTGTGGCATGTGGGTATTTACAGGCTGAGCCGCCCCCAGCTCCCACCCCAAGTGCCCATCTCACCTCTGGTGCCAGTCATGCATGGGGCCTTGAGAAGAAATCAGGCCCTCAGGGTCCTGGCTGGATTCCCTGCTGGGCTTCCATGGCTCGTCCACACTGGCCATCACCACCCAAAATGAACAGGAGGCAGTGGCCCCTTCCCCAGCCACCTGCACACTATCGGTGTGGCCCAGCTGCTCCCTTCTCCCTCAGCAACTTGGGACCCCTCTGACCCAGCTGGCCCCACCCTGTGCTCCCACCTCTGCTGCCCTCCCTTTGAGGGTGGAGTCAGCAAGAACAGGCTCAGCTAGCCCCTTCCTTCTTCAGGACAGAAAGCAGTGAAGATCAAGGAAGAACAATTCATCTACCCCAAGCCATCGCCAAGCCTAGGCCTTAAACCTCTAAGGACCTCAACTGCTGAGAAAGTTGAGACAGTTTGTAAATAAAGTAAACATAGGAATTACAAAGGTGAGGACTCTGTGTCTTAACAATAAACAATAAACCAATAAAAGAGTCTTTGATAAAAAACCAAGGAGCTCAGGACTCCTGCTTTACACAAGAAATGCTAGCATGCTTGGTTAACAAATTTCCCAGTTCAAGACCATTTAAAGAAGAAATCGCTGGAAGCATGCAAAGAGCAAGTGACTGGTATCTCAGAATCATGGCAAGTGGGGTATATATAAAAAGAGGTCAAAAGCAAAGCAACTGGGGCCACCTAGCGTAGAAGCACAAGTAACCTCTGAAGGCCCGCACCACTGTTCTTACAGCAAAGCAGAGGCTTTCATCCAGAGGGGTGACCTATGTCACCCAGAAAGACAGATGCTGTGACATGTACTCTTTTGAAAAGGAAGGCAGGTTTATGGTTTATTTTACAAAACTTTCCAAAATGACTAAACTAAATGAAGTTAGGCACTTTTAAATGAATAAAAATTATCTAGATAAAAATTAAAAACTAGGTCTGGGATACAGCTCAGTAGATAGTGTTTGTCTAGCATGCATGAGGCCGTGGGTTCAACATTCTGCATTGCATAAGCTAGACATGGTGGTGCACACCTGTTATCCCAGCACTTGGGAGGCAGTGGCAGAAGGAGGTTGTCCTGTGCTACAAAGGAAATGAGTCTAGCCTGAGCTACATGAGACTGTTTTTTTTAAAAAAAAAAAAATCAGAACAACAGTGCTGGAGAGATGGCTCAGTGGTTAAAAGTATTTACTGTGTAATCATAAGGACTGAAGTTCAGATCCCAGCACCCACATAACAAGCTGGGAATCTTATCTACTCCTGTATCTCCAATTCCAAGGTGGTTAGAGACAGGAAGATCACTAGGGTTTGCTGCCTTCCAGCCTACTTAAGAAAACACAAGCCCCAGGTTCAGGAGAGAGACTCTGCCTCAAAGAAATGGGTGGAGAAAGACAGAGAAGAACACTGGATGCCCTCTTTTTGCCTCTGAGCATGCACACAGGAATACACAACCATACACACACACACACACACTCACACAGACATGTACACACACAAATAAAAAAAATCAAATCAAAACAAAACAAAAAGCCTACCTATGGAATAACTCCTTCCTCGACAATGTCAGATGAACAGCTATTAGGACAGTGAGATAAAGTCTGCAGATGCTAGGCCTGTTTGAATGGAAGCAAAGGTGGATGGATTTATGCATGTATGGAAGAATGAATGGACAGCAGGCCATATATAGCAGCTTTAATTGATGAAGTCAGAGGAAAATCAAGCTTCAGAAATGGGGAGGATTTCTGAATCCCTTTCTCCCATGACTCCATGCTACCTGCCCATCTCATGGTTCCCCTTTACACTCTTTCCCACATGAGACACTTCCCCATTAGGTCAGAAAAGGGAAAGAGGAGCAGAATCGGGTTACAGGAAGTCACAGAGTTCACAACAAGTACACAAAGTGCAACCTTCTTTTTCTGTGGCTGAACTTTTTTGAGTCTATCTGAAACTCCCCCAGCATCTGAGAGGAAGGATGCCATCCACTGATGCCCAGGTAGTGTGTCACTTCAGCTTTTACCACATCACTTCTCCAGGTATATCCATGGCTATGCACAATTCGGGCTGTGTGCCCAGCCACACTGCTAATTGGGAAGGGTATCGCCTGGTGGGTATTGGTTGGCCTGGACTGGTACACATGAGGTGTGACTGGCACTTCCTTGTGTTGAAATCTGTTGCGCTGACACGTTCCCCACTGGGTCCCCAGCTATTCTGGACTCTGTTGCTATCTCAGGCTATGGGTGCTTGTTCAGCTTACAGAAACCCTGGAAGAGCCAGCAGTGTGGCCCAGAGCTTCATAGGACTCTGCTAGACCTTGATCCTGAGCCCCTACAAGTGCAGGGGCTCAATGCACTCCAAGCCACTTCAGGAAGGGCTTTGACATGATAACAGAAAATGAACCATTGCCCTGCTTTTCCCATTGCTCAGCCTCATAAGCACTTCACAGGGTGGGCCCATTGTTTGCAGAATATAAAAGTTATCAGATGAGGCACAGAATGCTTGAGCAATTTGCCCACTCTTACAAAGCTAAGGAATGGCAGAATAGGGCTAGGTCCAGGCAGGCCCCTGTGTCCCTATTCTTAACCACTAGGCAAACCTCTCCTGCCGAAGGTCCTCACAAAAGTCCTGCCATAAAAGATCAAGGAAGACTGAGGAAAGGCTCCAGCTTATAGGAGGCTAAAGGACCAAGGCAAACAAATGCAGTATCGGACCCTACAATTAGTTCTACTGCAGGGGGATAATACAGTGCTGAGGACATTGCTAGGTCTTACAGATATAACTGGAATATGAGTGGTAGATTAAACGAAAGTACTGACTTGATGTAAAACTAAGACATGGATGACTTTACTGCAGTAATATAAGAAAATATCCCTCATCTTGGGAAATGCTTACTGAAGGATATTGGATAAAGGTCACACCGGGTCACTTACCTTCAAATGGCAATTGCTTCAAAAAGCAATCATGCAGCCAGACATACTTACATGCATCTGTGTGTGAGCCATCAAAGTGGGAGACAGTGGTAAAATACATGAACCAAAATGTTTGCAATAGGGGCCAGTGAGATGGCTCAGCGGTTGAAGGTGACTACCACCTTTACCTGAAGCCTGATGACCTGAGTTCAATCACCAGGATCCATATGATGGAAATCAAGAACCCACTTCTGTGGGGCATTGTGGCGCATGCCTTTAATCCCACCAGTTGAGAGGCAGAGGCAAGAGGATTTCTGTGAGTTTGAATCCCAAGTGCTGGGACTAAAGGCATGCCACCATGTACACCTAGTAACTCCAGTACTAGGGAATCTGATGCCCTCTTCTGACTTCCTCGGGCATTGTACAACAGGGGTGCACTTACATACATGCAGGCAATACACTCATACAAATAAAGTATAAATAATAAAATTTTTTAAGTATTTAAAATGTGTTAAATGCTAGAAATAGGTAACTCTTGGTAAAGAGTATAGGGATATTCTCTGTATAGTTTTTATTTCAGAACCTTTCAAAAACTTGAAATTATTTCCAAATTAAAAATTTATAATTTTTTTTTTTAAAAACCACACAGCCCTGCCCCCTCATCACTGGTCAGGAGCTCTCCCCCCACCCACCTTCTGACTCCCAGCTTAGCTGCTGTGCTGATGCCAGGAGACGGAAACAGGACCAACCTCTTCAGATTCCTCTTGAATCTTCTACCCACAAGTAGACTATACTCTCTCTCTCTCTCTCTCTCTCTCTCGCTCTCTCGCTCTCTCGCTCTCGCTCTTGCTCTCGCTCTCACTCTCTCTGATTAAGAAGTGTCAAGGAGGGGCTGGAGAGATGGCTCAGCAGTTAAGAGCACTGGCTGCTCTCACAGAGGACCCGGGTTCAATTCCCAGTACCCACATGGTAGCTAACAACCATCTGTAACTCCAGTTCCAGGGGATCTGACACCCTCTTCTGACCTCCACCAGCACTGCATGACATGGGTGCACCTACCTACATCAGGCATTATACTCATGTACATAAAATAAAATAATAAATAAAATGGTTTTTAAAAAACGAAGAAGAGGAGGAAGAGGAGGGGGGACACGGAGGAGGTGGTATCAAGGTTGGGACTGAGGAAATGGTTCAGTCAGTAAAGTGCTCGCCTTGCAAGCATGGGGACCTGAGTTCGGATCCCTAGGCTCCCACATAAAAAGCCTAGTGTAGTAGTATACCCTAGTGCTGCGGGGAACGAGGGAGCACTGAGACAAGAGGATCCTGGGGTCTCACTGGCCAGCTAGTCTAGCCAATTAGTGAGTTCTATGTTCAATGAAAGATGCTAATTCCAAAAATAAGGTGGAAAGCAACAGAGGAAGACACTGGATGTTGACCTCTGACCTCTGTCAGGAAGGGATTTGACATAACAGAAAATGAAAAGTTTCCCTGCTTTTCCCATGTGCTTGGCCTCAGAACCACCCCACAGGTTAGGTCCATTGCAGGTGCACCCATGTGCATGCACACCAGCATACACACATGCACACTCATGAACATGTGCACAGGTATACAACACACACACGCACACAAAGAAGTGTCAAAGTCAAGCCTGTGATGGCTTTGTACTGCTTGCTGCTTCCCCAGAGGGACTGGCAGAGCAGGGGAGAGGGGTGCAGGAAGGACTCTCACCTTCCACACCACCCCTAGATCACCCCAGGTTTCCCAGGGCTGGAGAGATCTTCTGTACCTTTGAACCTAGAGAAACCCTCTTGAGGTAACCAGGAGCATCCTCTAAAATCAGTTCCTAAGGCTCCCTCACACAGGTACAGGGAGACAGCAACAGGGACCTAGGCAGTGTATCAGGAAGTCTTTTTTTTTAATGTGTAACTGTGTGTGTGTGCGCGCGTGTGTGTGCAAGTGCGCACATGAGTGCAGGTACCCTGGGAGGACGATGTCTGGATCCCCCTGGAGCTGGGGTTATAGGCAGTTGTGAGCTGGCTGACATGGGGGCTTTATAAGAGCAGTAGGAGATATTAACATGAGCCATCTCTTCAGTACTTCAGGAAGCTCTTTTAACAGAAGAGAGTGTTAGATGAGGTCCTTAAGGAAATATAGGGTTTATATTTTCAGGTAGCCAGTAACTTGCTTAGTGCTAACAGGCAGAGAGGAAATGGACCTAGGGGGCAGCAAAGGATGGGACCTGCCTCAGGGGCAATGGCCAGGCCATCAGAGCCCAGCCAGAGTCCTGGCCCCATCAGCCTTCTTCTCTCTGCTGTGGGTACATTGCCAAAGGGCATGCTCTGGGACAGGTGGGAGGGACCAGACTGTGACCAGAGGGTAAACTTCACCTGCTGGGGAGGGTGTGGAACACTGAGTCCAAGAAATAGCTCTGCCCTTCCCAGGACAAAGGCTGTTCTCCTCCTTGGGTGGGGATCATGAAAGGAGAAATTTAGGGTAAGAGATTAGGAAACTCCCAAGAACTTTTTGCTCCTCCCATCAAAACAATGGGAGCAGCTGGAAGTTTGTGATGTAAGTGCATATGTGGATGTGGATGTTTGTGCGTGTGTGTAAAGGTATGTGTGAGTGTGGGTCTACATGCTTGAGAGAATAAGGCAGGCAAATGGGGCTCAGGACGGGCAGAGGGCAAGCCAGTCACTGACTCCTGAGCTCAGGCTGGTTCCACTGCAGGGGGCTGCAACTTTGGGAGGAGTCGGGAAGGGAGCAAGGAACAAACATGCCACCAACACAGCCCAGCCCAACTGTCCTAGAGCACAGACTGGCTGCAGAGGAAGCCAGAAACCAAGAGCTCCACTCTATTCTGTACCGTCAAAGCAAAGCTCTCTGCTGGGTATGGCGGTGCACACCTGGGCAGCACACACCTGTAATCCCAGCACTTGGGAGGTAGAGGCAGAAGGATTAGGAATTCAAGGTCATTCTCAATGGCACAGCAAGTTTGAGGTCAGTCTAGACTACATATAATCCTGCCTCAAAAACAAAACAAAACAAAAAGCAAAACTCTTTGCACCTCCTTTCTTTAATTAAAACTGAACACTAAGGGAGGGAGGGAGGACTCTGTTACCCCGATTAGAAATCCAATGGGACCACAGTTCAGCAGTTGTACATCCCTGCCTAACAGGGAGCAGGAGTCTGAGGGTCACAGGTGGTGGAGGGCACAGAAGGCTCTAGGGACAGTTGTGTGTCATCCTTGGAGTATGTGTCAGGTCCAGAGGTAAAGGTTCTAACCAGACAGGCTGCTGGCAGAGAGCTTGAAGAGAGCCTGAGGCAAAGCCTGGGGCCCAAAGAAAGATGTTACAGGCCTCAGCAGTTCCACTGACACCTAGAGAGGGGAGAACTTGAGTGCCAAAGGTGGACACAACCACACATGGACAACATACCTTCCCAGCAGAGATCCCCAACTCCCTTCACTGCAACCTGCAGAGTCAAGAGTTGGGCAGTGGCTGGAGCTCCATGGTAGAGCCTGTGCCTGGTGTCTATGGCCCTGGACTTGATCCTCAGCACCTCACAAAAACACAATAAAACAAAACAAAAAAGAGTCGGGAAGGGATATCTAGCTGCACACTGGGATCCTGGCAAGACAAGGAGAGGCCTCTGCTTTGGACAGAGGAGCCCAGAGCACAGGAATCCAAAGC